AGTAAATCGAGTGATTGGTAGGTTAAAATTTGCATCTTTAAAATTTTGTTAGCAAAGGGATTTCACCATTTTATTTCATTAACTTTACTAATTTACTTTTTGTATGAATCATTCATTGTAATATAAATTGAACTGTACCATATATATATATATATATATATATATATATATATATATATATATGTTTGAAGGATTTCCTAAAGGATGAAATGCATGATACAAACAAATTTTTACACTTTGTCATTAGTTTGCCTTATATATATATATATATGATTATAACTGATAGATATGAGGAAGCAAAAATGATTTGAACTGTCTGAGACAGATACATATATATAGATAGATAGATAGATATTGAACAGATTGAAACAGATATTAACATAAATAGACTGATATTGAACAGATTGAAAGCTATAGGAATGTAGATACATAGATAGATATTTTATAGACTGAGACAGATATGAACATAGATAGATAGATAGATATGAGGAAGCAAAAAGATTTGAACAGCCTGAGATAGATAAATATGTATTGACATAGATAGAAATTTACAGCATCACATATAACAAAATGTTTATAAAATTTGAGAAATATTTCTGAATCTTACTCTGTTTCTCTTCATCCTTTATTCCTGTGATTGTTTTCAGAACATTACAATAGAACATCACACTTTTGTTTTCTTTCTATTCATATTTAAATCTACATTGAAACTTTTTCTATTCAGATCATTATGTACATTATTTACATTATTCGGACTATTGTCCTCATTTTTGTCGCCATATTTATCACAACGTTTCGGCCGTTGTATACTCTGGCCTTCTTCAGGTGGTTGGAATTTTGAACTGAACCCTTTATTTCGCTATGCCATGTTTGATGGATCAGTTATCTCCTACTAATTTCCCTCTGAAAGTTCTCCACTGCCTTGACTGGATATTGAACTCACACTCTTTGGGTCCTGTTACTGGATCTAACCAATGTCTTTATCCACTGTGCCATGTGTCCTTGAGGCGATTAGCAGGAGATAACTGATAACTGACATCCATCAAAACATGGCACGTGGAACTAGAACAGTCTACCCCAGTGAGCGAAATAAAGGGTTCAATTCGAAATTCCAACCACCTGAAGAAGGCCGGAGCGTACAACAGCCGAAACGTTGTGATAAATATGGTGACAAAGATGAGGACAATAGTCCAAATAATGTAAATAATGTACATAATACCTCATCTCAGAAATATAGACAGTCTCAGATCATTATGTATTTTTATTGCAACTTATGATCCTGATCTTAGTAAAATGTCATAAGCAAATCAGGCATAGCTCAGATACCTGTAGGAAATTCTGTCATCCATTTTTTTTTCCAAATGTCTGAATGAAAATATGAACATTTCAGGAGATCTATGATGAGAAAAGTTTCGCTTAAAGGTACAATTCAGCCTTGCCTAACTAATTGTTTCTTTGTATTTCAGTTGGTCAGGGTATATTGGATTTATCATCCAAGTTCTTACATTTCATCTTTCTTGGCAGATCTATTATCACTTAGTGGAAACTGTGTGAGGAAAAACTGTGCAGTATTAAATAAGAACAAGATGAGATATCTCTAGACATAGACAGTGTAATGTAAAGAATCTCCCCTTTAGATTAAATAAAGAGTTCAGTTCAGAATTCCCGAAAGTTTATTTTTTTCTATAAGTTTTCTTCTTTGTGACCAAACAAGTACATCTCTTTTCTTGGCTGATCTTCTGCTTAGAGCAATTGTCACAATTTGAGATTTCTTAAGATATTTAAAACAATGCATTACCAGTTAAAACCCAATGTACCCAGCCTAGCACAAAATAAATACAATATGGGAGCCATTAATACATAAAGAAGGAGAAATGTCAGCAAGGCAGTCAGAGAAGCAGTGAATGTAGTCAATTATGACAAGCAGCAGCTAGCAGATTAAGTTTAAGGCTCCAAGTTCTACACTCAGGTGTGTCCCATGAGAATAGCTTTGTGGATTAAAATATTGGTTTATAAATTTGGTGAGTACCTGGGCCAGGTAGTGCAGATCTAGACTCAGTGGAAGCTGGCTGAGCTTTACTAAACTAGATATCCCTAGACATTGTTAGAAGAACCATAACAATCTACTCCTGTAGATTAAATAAAAGTTTTTGTTTGAAAGCACCAGACCATATGCAGCAGCAATATTATAAGCATGGGCAAAAGCTAGACTTATCATACAGACTTAGACTGAGTCTAAATCAGTATTATCCAGCCTAAGGATTGGACTAACAATTACTATGTCACAAAATTACACTTTAAGCTTTTAGGCTATTGCTGTGTGGAAACAGGGTGAGTAATAAACTGAGCATCACTATATAAGAACGAGATGAGAGGTCTCTAGGCATAGACAGCAGAATGAGTACAATCTATCCCCTGACGATTAAATCAAGTTTTCTGTTCAAAATTATTGTTTTCCTCTTTGTGACCAAACAAGTACATCTCCTTTCTTGGCTGATCT